TCAATATTTACTGATTTATCGAAGATTTTGTATTTCTCGAAATTACCGTTATATGGGATGTGGGCGTAGTTATTGTCCGATTTTAGAAATTTTCGGCCAGTTGCTGTATCAGGACCCACAACTGTGCCAAGTTTGGAAGAAATTGGTGTAGCGGTTACCAAGATATACACATGTAACNAAGGAATTGGAAAAAAATTTCATTTTCAATTCCTTTCAAAGGAATTGAAAAAAAATTACATTACTATCACGTAATTAACTCCAATTACAATATGAAATTTCTTGTAATGGAATTAAAGAAAAAGACAATTCCATTTGAAATTACTTCAAAGAATTGAAAAAGTAATCGATTCCTTTGCTGTGAACTGAAGGAATTGAATCCTAATTACAATTACTGAGGAATGTAATTGTAATTGTAGTGTAATTGCATTTACCCAGCTCTGCCTGCCGGCAAACAAATTGTTCACCCAGAACGAGTCGGAAACAATGTAGTTTCGAAGTCGTTTGGCAATTGGAATTTCATATGCATGCAGCGGTGTGTATTATGTGTATTTTTATTTATCAATTTAACCAAGGATAGTGCAAACATTTGTCTCGTATGAACAAATTACTCCAAAAAATAACGCCACTCTCTTATCTTCCAAACATACTCGTACATATGTTCCGGAAACCACTCTTGAACTCGCTTACGGCCTGGCCTGCAGGTAGCTGGCATTATGGTTGGATTCTGTGCGACATTTGGATTTCACTGGACGTGCTGCTCTGTACTGGCTCTATACTGAGTTTGTGTGCCATTAGTCTGGACAGGTAATTTACAACTACTACACATATTAGCACAATGAAATAAAAGAGTACATAAACTGTATACAATAGGGCGATTCTCGAAGTCTTGCAAAGGCAACCGGTTTATAGCGTGTTTTATGTGCACCGTGGAAGGGCTTTGCAGGATTTTGGTAATCCCCTAATATTACACAGCACATATGCTTGTACTTATAGCGAATACATACAAACATGCGATTAATTTCTGAAAAAAAAAAAAAATAAGGGCAATGCTGACTTCGGTTATGCCGAAGGCCTCATACCTTTCATGAACATCAGACAATTTTACTTCCATATTGTTTTTAAAATTATTTAATTGTTTGGGAACGGAAAAAAGGATTTATACCCAATTTGCCACAGGGCGAAGACGACGTCGCTCTGGCGAAGTCATTTTAGTGAACTCGAAAAGACGTCGAAACGAAGTCGTTTTTCCATACAAAATTCAACGTCGTTCCGACGTCGTTTTTTCTCATCGAATCGAAGTCGTTGCGACGTTGGTCTGGTGAAGTCGTTTGGATGAACTCGAAACGAATCCGTTTCTTCAAACCCATATTATATATCTAAGTATAAATAAATGTCATTCATTTGGATAGTAAACCGGTTTTATTATGACAATTTTTTATTATGACAGAATATGAAATCCACAATGTACACTTGTGCTCAGAAAATTAAGCCGCTTACATCTTTTTTTCAGGGACATAACAGTTATAAGTTTTATAGCAAAAACGTTGCTCCATAACAGTTATTAGATGAGAAATATTTTTTATTTCGTCTATAAGAGTTATAACCCAACGCTTATTTTTTACGTTGCCTGATAACTGTTATGCAGGAGAAATATTTTTATTAAAAAAAAAAAAAATTTTTTCTCATCTAATAACTGTAACGAAACAACGTTTTCGTTAAATTTCAGAATTCAGTCAACGTTTTCAATTTGTAAATTCGAGATAACAGTTATTTTTGGTCCCTGCTTTTTTTCCGTATTCATAATATTCTTCATATTAATTTTTTTTTTGGTTTTTTAAGGTACAGTTTACTCTAGTGGCCTTATTAATAAAAAATAAAATTGTGGGTATGAAGTTTTTTTAAATTTGGTATAAAACTGTTATTTTACTTTAAATTTGGTATGAATTTGAGCATCGTTTTGCAGTTCGCTGGTATATCGATTTTTCGGGCTGCAGGGGGAGTCGTTTATGTGGCCCGCCGGCGAATCATTTGCGACCGTCGCCGGCGAAAAAATTGTTCTCCAAAACGAGTTCCAAACGACGTCGTTTGGCAAATTGGGTATTGACTGCATACATAGGTAGAGAAGTTATATAAAAACACATATCAGCGGTATGGAAGATATACTTTATAAAGCACCGATATTAATGATTTTGACTACTGTGTATTTAACACAATGATATAGTTTTAGCTGCCTATATACAGGAGTTTCGTATATCCCAAACAAATTTATCTGAACAATCAATGGTATAGGAGATATAGCTTATACAGCAGCGAACTTGACGAATTTCTCAGTGGAGTTTGTATGATTACTTATAAAATAGCTCACGAAATTTTTAAGTTTTAGCCGCCGAAATAAAGGAGTTTTAATGTAAAACCCCATATCTGAATAATTAATTGTATGGAAGCTATCGGATTTCACTTTAAGCTTTCTGTTGATAATGGGTGATAATAGTGCTAGGAGTTATAACAAAATATGTATCTTATTTCTGCACAATCAGTTGTATGGGGGCTATTTGTTATAGTGGTATGATTTTGCAAATATATCCGTTTAAAACAGCCAGACAGACAGGCGGACGGACGGACATGGCTAAATCGACTCAGCTCGACGTTCTGATTATTTTGGTATACATTTTTATGTGTATATCACTTCTTCTTCTTGTACTTACCAACATAGCACCAAAGTTATAATACCATTTCATGTTCATGAAAGGCATAAAACAAAAATTCGTTTGCTAACATTGTTGTTAGCAGAAATGAAACCTTTATGCTTTACGCTTTTTGCTTTTTTTGGCGTTTTCTACGAGCTTTTCGTTAAACTTCCCGCGGATTAGACTCGCAAGTCTCAATTACAATTTAATGGCCCTTCTATATGGGCGGGCCCGTAAGTGGCGGAAAAATAAATAGGACCGCGGCATTTTAGCAAGTTTAGGAATGCAGTTTTTAGCCCATTAAATCTAAGTACAATCAAGTCCAAGTTTTAATTATTATTTTTTTGTAAAAGTATAACTCTATCAAAAACTATGTAAGTCGAAAGTTCAATCCGTGTTAAAAATTTATAAAAATTCGACCGATTGCAACAAATATTCATCAAAATGTCAAACTTTTTACTCGGAATTAAAAAAAATTCAGGTACGCAGTTTTGTACCATGATTCAATAATAAAAGGTTTGCTCATTACCCTGCAGGGAGTGACGTTTGCTTATACCTAACTTTAGTCTGTTTACGCGAACACTAGTGCTAACTATTAACTGTGTATTTTGTTCGAAAAAAGCTAACTACTTTTGTGGGGCGATGGCCGCAAAAAAGTCAGACCTGGATACCTCTGCATTACATGTCAACTAACTTGTAACTAACTACTTTTGGACATAAAATATCAATAAGAAAAACAAAATATTTTTTTGTTTTTTTACTTTTTTATTTACTTATTTATTTACTTTATTT